TGGTGGTCGGTAACATCGTCTTGTCTGCAAAAAAACTTCATTGAGCTTACAAAAACAACACGGGTTTTTATTCTTTTAATTTTTTGGATTTTAAACAATTCTTACATGAGTCATTCAGTTTCCAGTTTCATCAGAATTTTATGAAAATGCAATGACCTTGAAAATCTTGCGAGTTGTCATGCTGGAACCGTACCAATAACAAGGGGGGAAGAGGAGAGAGGTCAGGATGACTCAACTCAATTCCCTTCTTACTCCCTCCTGCAACATGTCAAAAAATACGGCTTAGAAACTAACTCACTGTTTTAGGACCTACGGTCAATATTGTGTACAATTTAGTACCAGCGTCGTCCTAAAAGAATAGCTATTGCACGTCCACGTGAGGTGGTCATTTGCGAGCATTAGTGCATAATGTCATAAAGAAGCAAAGCAGAATCGGGCGAAGAGGAAGGAACTACTGTTCGACGATAGGGATTTCTTGAAAAATCGTCACGAAGTTATCAGTTATTTCGCTACAAAGTGCATCCTGAACTGAATGCCTCGTTTTCACGAGCAAGATGCTTGCATTCATAGGAGCTGCTAAATTCGCGTGAAATTGAGGATGTAAAAATGGCTTCATTTGTCGGGCAACTATAGCCCAAGGAGTGGTCAGCACTTGGAATTTTTACAGTGTCCAATATGCCGGTGGTAATGGTCTTCCGACAAAAAATAAAAATTTTATGACATCGGAACGAACTTGTTCGTTTACCTGGCCATCGCAGCTATGTATTTTGAAGTGTCTAAGAATTTTTGTTTTACAGTTTGATTTGAAACACTACAAGAAGACACTGTCTAAACTGGGACATCAGAAACAATCTAAAACGTCATGGAGACGTATGCAAGAAGACTATCAGAAAACGAAAAACAGCATTCAGGCATGGGAATGTGCTTCGTAAGGAAAATTGATCAGTAGTAATACAGAAATCGTGCGAATCAGGTTCACGGTAAATCCCAGAGAATTCAACAGAGATCCTTTGCTCGATGGATTTCACGGAGCCTTTGGCAAGAATAAAGGATGTGTTTCAAGGAAATGTAAATGCTAAAAGCATGAAGCTTACAAATCATATTTTTGAAATCTCAGCAAAAGAAGGATCCAAGAATCAACAAAATGTGACAAGCGGTTGCAGAGATCAAGTTCTTCTGTGGTATAAATAGCAGAGTTAACTGATTGTAAAGTGGTGGTGAGTGCCATCAAAGATTGGGTATCACTCGGGGAGGTTAAATAAACGAGGTGGTTGTTAATGAAGGAAAAACATCTCTATAAATAATGGTTTGAAAGCTGAGAGCGACTCGAATTCAGTCAGTAATGGTGAATGCTCAAGACTGATTGGTACGCCTGCTGCTTCCATTTGAATTAAAAATGTATAAGAAGTCTCGGATTGAAGCAAGCAGACTGAAAATGAGGGACTGAGAATTGAATGCAAACTCTTAGAATAATGATTCAGATAGGAAGCATAATTGTCACAACTGATGAAAACATACTGCGCAGTTCCCAGAGCTCGTATGTCTAATGATAC